TGTAGCCGTAATAACCTCGTATCTCACCATTTTACTTCGTGTTGTTTGCTTTAAAGGACGAATTTACGATGGAAAAGCAACCCATTCCAAATTGAGGTAGAGATGGTGAGTAGTACCAGAAAGAAAGCGAAACCACGAAAAACGGCCCAGAACCGGAGAAATGGGACCCCTTCCTTGTCCGTTGATTTGAGCATTGATGGGACTCTCATCGCTTTGCCCTCTTCAACCCTACGCTCTCTCAGCTATCTAATCACTCGCCACCTATTGTACTACGGCGAGTGATCAGACGATCGGTGGGCGGAGATCGCCGAACTCGTCAACTTTGAGCCATGCTAGATCTCAGAGGTCAAATCTTTCGATGCCGATTGCGTGTCTGTCCGCACCCTCAAGAGATTCACCGCTCTCCCCACTAGGCGATTTCTCCCTTCTTCGACCTTCGTTCTTTCCGTGCAATCCTCCTTTAAGACATTGAGATCACTTTCCATGTGCCGTTGTTTTTGATCAATCACTTACTTTTATAGACGGAGGAAGCGGACGTTGCCATTAGTCAACGCAATGGATGCGAAGTTATTACGGCGCGTTGAAGCGAAGCGCGATCAGTTCGCACGTCTTCCTCATACGTCGTCGTTGAAGAGAGCTATGCGCGAAAGTTATTTTCTTCACATTTACCATACTGTGGCCATTGAAGGAAGCACATTAACGCTTGGACAAACACGGTGGGTATTAGCAGGTCAGGCCAGTCATAACAATATTCGTTATAAGCACAGGAAATGTTTAGGTTTTTGAAAGGTACTATTTGTACAAGTATACAGTAAATTAAATTAATTTCAGTTCTATATTGGAATCTGGTGTAGCTGTAGGCGGGAAAAGCATTCATGAACACAATGAAGTAATTGGTATGGACGCAGCTCTCAGATACTTGAATCACTCTCTTCTTCATAGTGATGAAATCAGTCTGAATGTAAGCTCCTTCCGAACCTATAAGGCCGATGTCATAGTTTGCGAAATTCGCTAGCGAATCGCTGGATCCGAGCGTTGCGCCAGCGAATCGAACGTTGCACCAGCGAATCGAACTTTGCGCCAGCGAATCGAACGATGCACCAGCGAGTCGAACGATGTACCAGCGACTCGACACTGTTTGAAAGTGGCGGGCTTCCTTTAAACGTTGGGTCCCGCCACTTTCAAACAGTGTGAGTCGCTGGTACATCGTTCGACTCGCTGGTGCGTTCGATTCGCTGGTGCAACGTTCGATTCGCTGGCGCAACGCTCGGATCAGCGATTCGCTAGCGAATCGCTCGATTCGCAAACTATGACATCGGCCTAATGATGATCACACATGTTAGATGAAACCGAATAATTGCTTATTTGTACTAATATTCTCAAGGTTCAGGATATACTAGAGATGCACAGAAGAGTTCTTGGAAATGCTAATCCAATCGACGCTGGACGAATCCGAACTACACAGGTTGGTTTTTGAAGTTTCGAAATTTATTATCTCTCCATTCCGTTTTGGTCGAAAACATGCAGAAAACGGTCTTTATTTGCAACAAGTGACGTTTCTGGGTAAGATGCGATTGTTGATTAGTATTTATTTCAAGGTGTTTGTTGGAAGATTCACGCCTGTAGCTCCCGAGTATGTGAAGGACCAATTGGATGAGCTCGTCGATTGGTTGAGGGATCCTGGTACACTGGAAATGAGTCCTATCGAGAGAGCTGCTATTGCTCACTACAAACTTGTGGGTTTTTATGATGTATTTGGAATATCATCATTACATATACGTTATGTTTGATAGTTACTGTCATAGCTTACATCCCACATCGAAATGTTTCGATTTCGAAGTTGCCGATTTCTTCGGAAATGTGGTAGCTCTCAAGCTCTATTCACTGGAAAATTTCAAGATTTTTTTCTAGTCATTTGCACTTTAACTATTACATATACTTGTGGAGAAAAATTTCAATGTTCTCGAGATTCTACGTTGACATGTTGGAAAGTGCTGTTTTCCGGTGTTGCTGAGAAAGTCTGGAAGAATGTGCTGTATATTTTTGAGGCATACAAAAGTTCCTAAAACATTCATCTCTTTGGGGGCGGGATGGTGCGGTTATACTTGCACCTGCTGTAAACAGCTACCATTAACGTCTAAACTTTTGAAGCCATGCGTAGTAGCGAAGAATCAAGAGGACGCAATAAAAACAGCAACAGTGCTAGTTAATGAGCTGCAATGTCGATCGAAGCTTTGCTGGTCACGCGATTAATCTGGCCTGCATTCAGGCTGAACAGTCATTGCAAGAAGGACTCAAAGACTCAAGGACTCAGCTTACAATACTAATTGCACGGTTGTTGTGTTCGTAGGCGTAACTTTTACTTAGAATAATTTTAAATTGGTAGGATGTTGTGATCAGACAAATGCATAAGTAAACTAGGCTGGATAACCAGGAATGGATT